TTCGAATTCGAATTATTAACGTAAAGTTAACTTTAATTGGAGACTTCAACGATCGCGCAAGCGACGAACCCGTAACTTAATATTAATTTACATTCATATTTTATGAGTTTTGTTACGATTTTTCTTTATTGCAATTTTTCTTTTTTTGGAAAAATAATGTTGAAGATCGTCGGATCGATTGCTTTGGTCCTCGAATATTCGGAAACTTCGACACACGCGCCTGTTTATTCTCGTCGCTTTGGTACCTCTTTCGTTGGTCGTCTTTTCTTCTCTTGCCTCGGTCTTGTCTGATCGCAGATTTATCTGCGGTCTCTCGCCGTCCTCTTGCACTTTTTTGCTGATCAAAAGTCGAGGATTTACTTTGTCCCGGGGTGAATTTTTCACCGGGGCCGCCGGAATTTTAACGGGGGGCCCACTGAGAATAAAACAAAAATAAAGAAAGAAATGAAGGATGGCCGAAACAGCGGGAAAGAGAAGGAGAGTCGAACGAAACGGAGAAATAAAACGAGGAGCAGAGGAGGTTGATATTTCGAAATTATGCGGCGAGAAATGGGAACCCCGTTGGATCTCGCGATCGCAAAGAGATAAGCATCGCTCGAGAAGAAACCGAAAAGCTGACGGAGGGAGAAAACTGGAGGTCGGAGCGTTGAATGCATGCGAGAAAAAGGACGATGGACTTGGATGGACTTGGACGGACGGTGTTGACATTGCATAGCTCTTCGCGAGTTGGCGGTCGCGGACGCACCAAAGCGGCCGAAAATAAAACTGCAAAAGGAAAAACATGAGTTGTAATAATGAGGCAGTTTTTTTTTCTCTGTACAATTGACATTCTCAACACTTGATAATTGTTTAAATTATATAATCGGCAACAATATTAAACAATATTAATTTCATTAGACACAAGTATTATTATTGTATTTAACAATATAATAATAGCGTTGAAAAAGTTGTAATTTGTGTTAATAAACGAGGAGATTTCAACGCTTACTGAGACGACTAACTCTTAGATTCAAAAGTTTGATATGAATTTGTTAAATGCTGCATTCATTTATTCCTTTAATTAACTTTTTTGTTTGTTTATACTTCTTACAAGCAAATATGTAGATCAACACTTGATAATTGTTTAAATTATATAATCGGCATCAATATTAAACAATATTAATTTCATTAGACACAAGTATTATTATTGTATTTAACTATATAATAATAGCGTTGAAAAAGGTTGTAATTTGTATTAATAAACGAGGAGATTTCAACGCTTACTGAGACGACTAATTCTTAGTTTCAAAAGTTTGATATGAATTTGTTAAATGCTGCATTCATTTATTCCTTTAATTAACTTTTTTGTTTGTTTATATTTCTTACAAGCAAATATGTAGATTGTGTGCAAGCAAAATTGAGTATATTGAGACAAAGGAAACTATCGGTCTCAAAAGAATTCCAATTACTGGTAAATGCGCGGCGCGAGGAACACAGAGGTTGTAGACTGCCATTGTTGTTCGTTTCCCCCCTTCCATATTGGGGGTACAGGGAGCAAGGAGCAGTTATCCAAATGAGATGCACGATGCGAATACTTTTCCATCGTTTGGCTTGGGTTATTCGGTTAAATGTGTCGCGCGGCCGTAAAATGTGCACACATTAACCGGTAATGGGGTATAATGAACACGTTAAGAGAGGGGTGAGGGAGAGGACTGTAGTAATGGGGGTTTTGCAGACAATGGCCCGGAAGTTGAGGCCGTTTCTCGGTGGAGTTCTGTGGAGGTTGG